TCATGAAGGGGTTAAAACCCAACAACCGTCCATAAACTCATCACCAATGAGTTTACCTGTGAAACATATTGCAAATGTGACCCTTCCCGAAATCACGGCTTCGGACTTTGTCATTTACGTACACGAGCCCATATACAGGGCAAGAAAACATGTCCACCGAGCTAAAGCTCAGGGCTTGTTCACATCAGAGCGTTGCCGTAACACCCTAAAAACACGTGTTTTACCATGCATTCCTGCAGTGCGTGCCAACACATGGAACCCAGAGCAGTGCCATACTCAACCACACGTACTGGTCCCTCCCGGGGATGGTTTTGGACAGATTGGTTAAAATGGTGGATCCTTGGCTGGTATACAAGCTCTATGTCACAACACAGTTCATGCGGCACAGAATGCACTACTCCCATGCATCCTTCTACCTTTCCAAAACAGACTTCTACACTATGGAGCGGTCCGTGCTGGAGGATATGATATTCCTGATGTAATATGGAGCAGCACCTTAGATGGAGGCGATAATGAGGTGGGGTGAGCTTTTCAGGACACTTTACAATGTGGAGGCCCTCAGCCATTGCCAAGTTTAATTTCACCATCACCAGTGTCCTCCCAGCACACTGCTCACTAATCATGCCACCATCACCAGTGTCCTCCATAAGCAATGCCCTCCCAGCACATAGCTCACCGCCTACTATCCGTGACACCATCACCAGTGTCCTCCATAAGCAATGCCCTTCCAGCTCACCGCCTACTATCCGTGACACCATAACCAGTGTCCTCCATAAGCAATGCCCTCCCAGCTCACCGCCTACTATCCGTGACACCATAACCAGTGCTCTCCCAGCACACAGCTCACCGACCACTATAAATGTCACCATAACCAGTGTCCTCACAGCACACAGCTCACTATTCACTATCCACGCAACCATCACCAGTGCCCTCCCAGCACACAACACCACGTCCACTATCCATGCCACCATAAGCAATGCCCTCCCAGCACATAGCTCACCGCCTACTATCCGTGACACCATAACCAGTGTCCTTCCAGCACACAGCTCATCGTTCACTATCCATGCCACCATCACCAGTGCCCTTCCAGCACACAGCTCACCATTTACTATCCATGCCACCATAACCAGTGCCCTCCCAGCACAGTTCACCGACCACCATCAATGTCACCATAACCCCGGGTTGTATCTTCTTCTTGAGGGCCACAATATCAAGTTTTGGTTTAGACCACACAGTCTACAGAGTCCATTTATGAATGGCTCCTGGGTGATCGCCTCTCTACTTTTCTGGGGACCTTCATGCGACTCACCACCACACTTGCAGGCTTGTAGGGTTTAGCTGGACACACAGTTGCCAAACTCTTCCATTATGACGGGAATATGACGCTGAGTCACACTACTACTCTTAGTGACCGGAGATGCTATTCATATGTGCATGTGGGACAAGTCAGAAATTACTCAGAATAACAAGGAACACAGAAAATACTCCCACACGAGGACAGGAAGTGAACAGATACTGAAAAATAGTCCCATCATAAATTAGGCATGGGGTCTGTCCGTGGGTTGGTACTGTACAGTCAAATAAATACAAATAACCGGGACAGGTACCCCGGATGACATGCAGCACACCGGGGATAGGAAGTGAGCCCCTCCACACACACTCAGAACAGGGTACTGAGAGTGAAATCCACAGAGAAGAAGGGAAGTGGTACTGGGCAGCGCCCTTCTATACGGAATAGGGACCGGTATTAGGAAACACAACAGCAGGAATGGCAGTAGATATTTTCCCACGGACTAAACATGAGAACATGTGTGCAGGGGGACAGAGGGAACCAGTCCTGTGCACTTCCCAACATACAGGACACACCACAATGAACTTTTATATGGGGGGGCTCCGACTGCTCTGCTTTCATTACACCCATCTACACCCCTCCACACCACAAGCACTGGGGTGATGGGGAGGAACACCCGTGATTTTTGGATCAGGGGGGCCCAATTAACTTCTGTTTAGCGATGTTCTCTGTGATGTTTATGGTGTTTTGGCCGAAGGATTTTGGGTCCTCCTAGGCCACCTCACCATCACGACTGCTCACCCAGTATGGGATTTTGGCTTCCGGTTTCTTTTGGACCATCTCATCGGAACACGACCACTTCAGTTGTATCGTCTTTATAATGAATGTGTGTTGCCCTGATGAGTACAAAAATGCCTGAAGCAGTTGTGTTGGATGACTGGGTATGTATCTTTGGCAGTGCAGATTGTACGGAGTTCGCGGGCACACAACTGACCCGGCCGTGACCACGCAATCATCTCATCAGATCAGTACAAAATCAACAACCCGATATTCTCTACTATCCACGTATGTGGAGAAGAGGAGACGGGTCAAAGAAGAGGCGAGGAGGGTCCGGAGGAGAGGCGGCGGGGTCGGGAGAAGAAGAGGCAAGGAGGGTCAGGAGGAGAGGCGGCGGGGCGGGAGAAGAAGAGGCGGCGAGAAGAGAGAAGAAGAGGCGGCGAGAAGAGAGAAGAAGAGGCGGCGAGAAGAGAGAAGAAGAGGCGGCGAGAAGAGAGAAGAAGAGGCGGCGAGAAGAGAGAAGAAGAGGCGGCGAGAAGAGAGAAGAAGAGGCGGCGAGAAGAGAGAAGAAGAGGCGGCGAGAAGAGAGAAGAAGAGGCGGCGAGAAGAGAGAAGAAGAGGCGGCGAGAAGAGAGAAGAAGAGGCGGCGAGAAGAGAGAAGAAGAGGCGGCGAGAAGAGAGAAGAAGAGGCGGCGAGAAGAGAGAAGAAGAGGCGGCGAGAAGAGAGAAGAAGAGGCGGCGAGAAGAGAGAAGAAGAGGCGGCGAGAAGAGAGAAGAAGAGGCGGCGAGAAGAGAGAAGAAGAGGCGGCGAGAAGAGAGAAGAAGAGGCGGCGAGAAGAGAGAAGAAGAGGCGGCGAGAAGAGAGAAGAAGAGGCGGCGAGAAGAGAGAAGAAGAGGCGGCGAGAAGAGAGAAGAAGAGGCGGCGAGAAGAGAGAAGAAGAGGCGGCGAGAAGAGAGAAGAAGAGGCGGCGAGAAGAGAGAAGAAGAGGCGGCGAGAAGAGAGAAGAAGAGGCGGCGAGAAGAGAGAAGAAGAGGCGGCGAGAAGAGAGAAGAAGAGGCGGCGAGAAGAGAGAAGAAGAGGCGGCGAGAAGAGAGAAGAAGAGGCGGCGAGAAGAGAGAAGAAGAGGCGGCGAGAAGAGAGAAGAAGAGGCGGCGAGAAGAGAGAAGAAGAGGCGGCGAGAAGAGAGAAGAAGAGGCGGCGAGAAGAGAGAAGAAGAGGCGGCGAGAAGAGAGAAGAAGAGGCGGCGAGAAGAGAGAAGAAGAGGCGGCGAGAAGAGAGAAGAAGAGGCGGCGAGAAGAGAGAAGAAGAGGCGGCGAGAAGAGAGAAGAAGAGGCGGCGAGAAGAGAGAAGAAGAGGCGGCGAGAAGAGAGAAGAAGAGGCGGCGAGAAGAGAGAAGAAGAGGCGGCGAGAAGAGAGAAGAAGAGGCGGCGAGAAGAGAGAAGAAGAGGCGGCGAGAAGAGAGAAGAAGAGGCGGCGAGAAGAGAGAAGAAGAGGCGGCGAGAAGAGAGAAGAAGAGGCGGCGAGAAGAGAGAAGAAGAGGCGGCGAGAAGAGAGAAGAAGAGGCGGCGAGAAGAGAGAAGAAGAGGCGGCGAGAAGAGAGAAGAAGAGGCGGCGAGAAGAGAGAAGAAGAGGCGGCGAGAAGAGAGAAGAAGAGGCGGCGAGAAGAGAGAAGAAGAGGCGGCGAGAAGAGAGAAGAAGAGGCGGCGAGAAGAGAGAAGAAGAGGCGGCGAGAAGAGAGAAGAAGAGGCGGCGAGAAGAGAGAAGAAGAGGCGGCGAGAAGAGAGAAGAAGAGGCGGCGAGAAGAGAGAAGAAGAGGCGGCGAGAAGAGAGAAGAAGAGGCGGCGAGAAGAGAGAAGAAGAGGCGGCGAGAAGAGAGAAGAAGAGGCGGCGAGAAGAGAGAAGAAGAGGCGGCGAGAAGAGAGAAGAAGAGGCGGCGAGAAGAGAGAAGAAGAGGCGGCGAGAAGAGAGAAGAAGAGGCGGCGAGAAGAGAGAAGAAGAGGCGGGGAAGGTCAGGAGGAGAGGCGAGGAGGGTCCGGAGGAGAGGCGGCGGGGCGGGAGGAGAAGAGGCGGCGGGACGGGAGAAGATGCGGCGGGGCCGGAGGAGAGACGAGGAGGTTCAGGGGGTCAGGAGTAGAGGAGCAACCACAGAGGTGCTGTGGATGGGAGAAAGGATACGTCGTCCATAGCAACAAGACTTCAAACTGACATAATCGCTATGGGAAACCGCTCCATACTTCACTGCAACTGTCATTCCCCGGGGCTGAGATGTCAGGTGATGGTGAGAGGAAGAAACGCTCTGCATGCAGACGCGATGTACAACAAGAAATCAGAGATTACACACAAACTATACATTGGAGGGAACATGAAGACGACCAAGCACACAACGATGACGAGGAACGCTCTGCACACCGAGACAATCCGAATAATACACACAGCATGACCAGATGAATCAAAGCAATAATCTGCAGAGTACAGGGCATGGCACCATGTATGAGATGAGGAGGAATGCTCTGCAGATCTCAGGACATGGTACCATGGCTGGGATGGGGAGGAATGTTCTGCAGTCACATAACATGGCACTATGGCTGGGATGGGGAGGAATGCTCTGCAGTCACATAACATGGCACCATGGCTGGGATGAGGAGGAATGCTCTGCAGTCACATAACATGGCACCATGGCTGGGATGAGGAGGAATGCTCTGCAGTCACATAACATGGCACTATGGCTGGGATGGGGAGGAATGCTCTGCAGTCACATAGCATGGGCACCAGGGCTGGGATGGGGAGGAATGCTCTGCAGATCTCAGGGCATGGTACCATGGATGGGATGGGGAGGAATGCTCTGAAGATCTGTGGACATGCTACAATGTAGCAGTGCAGGAGTTAAACTGCTGTACCCAGAACAATGCGGGGTCCCCCCCCATATCTTACCTTCCTCGGAGGGGGCTGCATGGTGCTGCTGTTGGGGTGCAGCCTCCCTCCTCCTCCTCCCCTGGCGGGTCCCGGGGCTTTGTATCAGTGCCGGAGTCCGGGGGGCTCCATGAAGGGCCACAGACAGACTGGAGAGCGCCGGGCACACAGCACAGTGCTGGGGGAGGGGCGGCGTGTAATAGGAGCGGGGGAGGGGCGATCACTGCACGGAGACAGGAGGCGGCTCTGCCGGTACTGCAGCACTGCCGATCCCCGGGAGCTGAGCGCCACCTTCCGGTAAATGACTGATACTGCAGCACTGCCGATCCCCGGGAGACGAGCGCTACCTTCCGGTGACAGACTGATACTAAAGAACTGCCGATCCCTGTGAGCCGAGCGCCACCTTCCGGTCATAGACTTATATTACAGTCCCACCGATTTCAGATGACCGAACGCCACCTGCTGGACAGAAATATGTATTACATTACTGTCCAGCCCAAGGCCATGACAGATAATATTTCAAAGTCTGGGGTGGGCGAGCGCTATCTGCTGGACAGAGACGGCACTGCAGCACTGCCATGATCTGGGTACTGAGCGCCACCTACAGCCTGAACTCTGCTACTACAACACTGTTTCTCTTCTGGGGCCGAGCGCCACCTGCTGGGCAGACTATACTATTGCATGGACTTCCTAGCACACTAAAACACCAATAAAGGGGCATGTAGTATTTTGCTCTGAAAGGCAGCACAGCACAATGCACAGTAGTGAGTGGGGCACTAAAACACATGGGTTGGTGAGGTGCATTAGGGTGCCATTAAAGACCAATAAACACACTATAGCGTCACGCTAAACGCACAGTATCTGGCAGTGAATGCTCAGTGCGCTGGTGCCATTAATTCTCAATGCACCTACTGGTGGGTATGCAATGCAGTACTGTGCAATTTGCAGTAGTGCAACAATGTGCATTGCATCTAGGGTTGCCACCCATCCGGGATTCACCCCGGACAGTCTGGGTTTGGAATCCTGTGCCTGGGTGCAAGCCCACCTCACACCCGGACACAGGATTCAAATCGGACAGAGCCACAGACGAAAAACCTCACCTGGCGGCGAGCGGCAGGCAGCGAGTGACGAGCGGGTCATGACGTGCCGCCTGGCTTCCTGATTGGTTAGGAAGCAAGCTTCACTTGTTGGTAGGCAGCCTGGCTTCCTAATCAATCAGGAAGCCGTCATGACGTACCACCGGGCTTCCTGATTGGTTAGGAAGCCAGGCTGCCCACCAACTGAAACTTTCTTCCTAGCCAATCGGGAAGCTGGTCGGCACATTATGACCCGCCTCCCGGCTTCACTTTTTGGAAAGTTGTGATTACCTCCAATGTTATTTAAATACAAAATATATGCATACTGTATACTTTACCAAAAAATTGCTGCGGGGTGCTACAGTGTTCGGGTTTGGCTTGAAGAAAAGGTGGCAACCCTAGTTGCATTGCCATGCTGTGACAAAATCAGTGCACACACCCTAGGGCAGGCGGCATCTAGGGTCACCCCAGCATTCAGAATAGGACGTAGGTCTACTTCCATCCACAACTACCCCACCTCCCACCCTCTGCAAGATGCTGGATCTGCTGGCTGTAGGCAAGGACTATCAGGTACGTTTCATACATTTTAGTCTGGGGTGTCAGGATTTGGGCCTGCCCCTATTATTTTCTAGCATAATACCGATTCCATTCCCATGTTTCACCTCCAATTATCATTTTTAGCATTACCTCCCACGTGTCCATAGTCTCAATCAGCTCATTCTGCGGCTCCACATTCATCTCTTCCACTTTTTCCCCTGACGGCTGCTTCCTGCGGTCAATTTTTGACAACTGAAAAAGAGAAGAGTAACAATAATATATAGATCATGTGAAAGTGAACCATTGGTTGGCCCATGCAAGGTTCACTTAATACCCCCCATCCCCCACACACACTCTTTATGACTTCCCTTCATTCACCCCCATACTTTTCCAGCCCATTCTAGTATAGTAAAGTATCTGGTACCTCCAGGTATGGGGTTGGGTATGGGGGTGGGTACGTGACTTTCTCCCCTTCCCCTATGAAAGAGCTCTGGGTGCGCAACTGGCCAATCACCAGACCTTGGCATGGTCCTCTAGCCCTGTGTAAGCTCTGACCAGACTGGCTTGAAGTCAGGGCTCTTTACTTTGATCTGGCAGGCTAATGGAAAGACAGGGGAGTTCAAATTAAACAGAAATGGACAAGCTATTACAGTGGACCTTTCAGCATTTTCACAAGTCTGTATGAACAGTATAATTTTTTTTTTTTGTCAAGTTTCCCTTTTTATCATTAAAAAGCCATCTGTGAGTTCCAGCTCCTTATATCTGTGATATAAAAATCTTTACTGGTAAAAATGGTTATGGGGCACACCCACCCCCCCTGTCCTTCATCTTCCATAACCCATCCTTTCCACCAGGTCTTCAAAGAACCTATTAGGTTCATCTGGTGGGTGAAGAGGGATATATGACTTGTCTACAATGAATGGGATCTGGTCCTTCTCTTCCCTCCAGTTCTCAGCACTTCAGAATTTTTCCGATACTTTCAGCTTAAAATCTTCATACAAAACACCCTCAAGAGCATGACATGGTTAAGACATTGCAATTACAATACAATTCAAGACAAGATGGTAAGGATGGCCCTGCCCCTGAGGGCTTACAATCTTAAAGGGAGAGGGAAGTGATACATGAGGAGGTGGCTGTGTGGGGATGAATTATTTGAGAATGTGATGGTTGAGTGGTTAGGTTGAGGTGGGATAGGCTGCCCTGAAGAGATGAGTCTTAAGGGATCGCCTACAGGCAGCACAGCACTCAGTAATGGAACCTTGACTCTATTGTAATTCTCCATTCTGGCGTGAGACTACAAGTGCCCACCTGAATATCTTACTAAATAGGAGCATCGCCATCAACCAAGTTGGCTCCCACATTCAAAGGGAGCAATGACTCCAAATATGAGTCACCACTGTGCATGGATTAAAGGAGAACTATGAGGTGAGTGCTTTTCACTCATCCTCATAGTTCTAGCCGACGTGTGACAATGAAACTGTCACAGGTCGGCTCAGTAGATCGGAAAGTGAGCGAACACATACCGGCGTTCGCTCACTTCTCGATCCTGTCACGGCTCTCTGCCGTAACAGGGGAGGGACTGGATTCCCCCCTCCGATCCGCCAGCGCTGACTGGCAGAACGGACGGGGGAAGGGGCGGGTACAGCTGGTTCTGCCTCTAGATAGGCAGAGCCAGCTGTCACGCAGCTAGGTGGATCCTGACATAATTGTCGGGATCCGCTTCAGCTGCGGCGTCTCAGTATACCGCAAGCTGTAGCTCGCGGTATACAGAGCTTAGGGTGACGGGAGAACGCTAGTTTGTATCCTCCCGTTACCCTAAGGAGAACTATGGGGAAAAGCCCTGACCCCATAATTCTCCTTTAATTCATCACTTGAGAAAACAAACAAGGAATTAAAATTATGATCCTTCAGATGTTGGTGAAATACCACCCTGATACATCAAGTCTACATTACAAAGTGAGGGGGTCACCCTTAATCATATTTGATGGGACTGACTGAAGATCAAACCCTTATAGATAAACCTCTATCGATTAATATACATGGTCTTGGGTTGGCGAATACATTGAAATCAACAACTTGAAGCTTGAACATATAGAGTGGAGAGGGATTAGAACACCTGTCAGGTTTTTATTGCTGCCTTTGTCCCTGATTCACCCTCTCTGTTTGTCTCGGTGACCTTTATCAGTGAAAGAAAATCCCATATTTTGAGTTGACACCAGAATAGGAATAGATGGGAAGTTTTCCAATGGGGACACTAGTTCTGGAGACCCTGCTGACCACCAGGGACTTCCTTCTCTTTGCAGGGATTTCCTCTCACTTCTTGTTATGGCTATGGAACAGGAAGTGAAGGGAAATCTCTCCAATGGAACAGAGATGGCAAAAAAATCTGGCAGGAGTTACAACCCTCCCTTACCATATCCACCCCCCCCCCCAAAAAAAAAGTTTGGGTTTCAGTTTTACTTTAAATAAAACTAATTACTTTTATTTTCAGGCGGGAGCTGACAATAAAAGCCCACACTTCCGAGAAGACATACACCCCAAATGATCTGAATCCTACACCCAGCTGTAGGAACTGAGACAGAAGTGTAATAGGTCATAAAGGGTCTAAACAGCTCTCGCACTATGAAATCTATACAATTTCTTGTTTTGGAATGTTTTCATTAGTACAAAATTCACCCCGGATCTACATATAGTTCACTGCGGTGTCCAGAATGCGTATATCCATGCAGAGTCAAATATTACAGCAAATCTGCTGATTTCAAAGCTGATTACTGGGCAAGGAAACCACAAATGTAAAAAAAAAGAAGCAAAAAGGTTTCATACATTGTTCTACAAGGGAGTGACAATGACATAAAGCGACAACACAATATACTGTAGAGTCTGACAGGTAACAGTTTAGAACCTTGAGTTCGATGTGAAGGGTTGGATTTGGTTTTCTCACCTCTGGGGGGATCCAGCTGGAACAGAATTCAGTGCTATTGCTATCATTTGTCTTCTATATATGAATACATGTTGTGTGTAGCAGGACGTGGAGGTGTCAGAGAGATCTGGCTCAGGTAACCGGCTATCTGACTTTTGAGCAAATAAGAAGTATGTGCAGCTTATCAGGACCTGTGAAAGTGAGACAAGGTGATCGTTCCAGTCCAACCCGATGGGGTCTGTCCTTCCTGACTGACCGGTGTGGTTTGTATAGGACTTAAAGTGTATATAACAATCAGCTAGTCTTATTTGCTGCCTTTCACTCTCCTAATTATACAATTGAAGTGTTTTGTTATATTTAGTGTTCTTTCAAATTAGTACTTCCTAAAGTTTATAACACTAATTCTTGGGTACTATACTTTAAAGCCTTGGTTCTCAACTGGTGTGTCGTGACCCCAAAGTGGGTCACGACCCCGTGTTCAGTGGGTCGCCGCATGCAGTCCACTTTTCTAGGTGAGAGGTTGCTCAGCCTCCCCCTAGCACAGCACTGTCCATTCTTACACCGAGCAGCTATTTAAAATATGCTGCCCAGCGTATTTTGACTTGAGGTGTGGTGGTGTACTGGAGATATGGCTGCAAAGGAGCTCCCTCCATACATGCATTGCTTATAGCTCCCTTGCATGCCCTGCAGAGGTGCCAGGACTGGAGTGACATCACATTCTG